GTGTCATATATGGACAGGTTAAGTGAGCTTAAGATCTTCAGGCCAGAAGAAAGTAGAGAGAAGATTTGATGTCATTACAAACAATCCTTAGCAAGGATAGACAACCCAGGGGACTGTTTTACACACAGTAGAAAACAAGGATGCGGGACCACAACTGGAAACTGAAATGGATTTAATTTAGGATGCAAAGTAGCAGTTGCTTCTTTGAAATGAAATGCTAGTGTCACGTAAGACACTAAACTTCAAAAAGACCAATGACCTGTTCTCATTTTCATTCTTTTTCTTTCTTTCCATAGTCAAGTCACGTTGCTGTTCGTTTTTCAGGAAGTTGAGACTGCCTTTAAAGTTAGATACGTTTCCAAGCAAGATTCCTTTTAAAATATCCCGCAAAATTTGCAGAATGAATACATTATAAAAATAAGTCCTACTGCCATCATAATGGGAGTTATTGCCTTTACAAAGTTTGCACAGTGTAAACCTGGCAATATTGTTCAAAATTAATAATGCTTTCACCAAGGTAATGTAGATGTGAGGAAAATAAAACAGTCAGATCTTCCCTGTGGTTAGGTTTCCAGCACCACAGGAGTGGCAGGTAGTGGTGTGAAGGTGAAAGGTGTGAAGATGGACTGACAGCTGCACTATGCTCTGCCCTGTCCTGCAGGTGAGTGAGGACGGAACCTTGTAGCTGTGTTTTCCAAAATGGCAGCCAGCGTGTCTCCACTTGTCCCTCCCCTTGTCACACAGAAACCAACATGGTCCCGACCTGACATTCCTGCCTCCTTGCCTGGGACTGCTCTGTGCATCAGCTTCCCAGAGTAATTCTAAGAATTCTAATCAGCCTCACCTCAAAACACAAAAGCAGAACCAAGCATAACAATGTATCGAAAGAAAAGTCATACATATGCCTCAGGGGTCAAGTGAGCCAGTGACAGTGTACCGGTGTCAAAATCAAACTTAAAAGCTCATAAACCATTGTGGTTGAGACCCATGAAGCTGCTTTTAGATGTTAACATAATCAGCACTGAATATGTCCCGGACACCTGTGGCAAGGTATATCAGGACAGTTGACTCTGACACTGCAACAATGTCCACTAAAACACATCTCTGCTCACTTGAAAAATTCACATGGGGTAGCAGTAAAAAAGGAAACCTGAATGCATGTGTGGAATCTGAATTCAGGGAAGTTATGCTTTTAATTAATTAAAAATTAATTTAGGGTGGATCAGGAGAAATGCTTTTTTGCTCAAAGAGTTGTGGGTGACTGGAACAGGATTGGCCAAACACTGGGCAGGTTAAAGAAACAGCCGGGTGAGATTTTAATAACACCACCTGCTCTGAATGTGTTACTGAGACCTTGGACACCTCTTATCAAAGCTCTATATAAAATAAAGGATATTACAATGTCAAATACAACATAGTTCTGTCCATCTGCAATAGGCACACGAGACAGAGACCCGCTGCATTCCTGCAGCTTGAGAGGCATAGGAAAATACAGATAGTGGCTTGTACTGCCTTGAACGACGATCTCTCTGACTGTCGCTTTGCCCTGTTAGATCACAAGCCAGGCCAGGGCTGTCTCCCACGAAGAAGGAGGATTTGCCTTAAAGGGATTAATGACAGGGGTGAGGTGGGATCTCTCTTTTTCTAACCTGTGACAGTTAGCAGGATCAACTTTCTTTCTGCACTTGAACCAGTGCCATCTCTGTCATGCTACTGTATGATTGCGGCCAGATCTGTTTAGACTTGTGGAACAATGTGAAGCTTTCTGGGGAGAAACGCACGTTACAATATGTTGCACTAGAAGCAAAACATGTACAGTCTCTTCATATAGTATAGTATTTGTCTTTTAAAATCCACAAAAACTGATGTATAGGGAACAGATATACTGTACATGGCTGTGTGCGAAATTAGACATTGTGCATTGTTCATCATTGTTTCTTCTTCTTGGGATCAAGAAGGTTGGACTAACATGGGTAAGGAAAGGTACTCAGAACCTTTTGGGTAGCATCACATTTCAGCATGCTTTTAAAAATGTAGTTGGACATAAGAACCAACTGCATTTATTTTGAATCCATAGGAGCTGTAAAAGTGTAAAAGTAAAAGTGTATAAATGGGTGCAAATACTGTCACAATATTAGTCCCCCCTCCTTAAGGGTGCTCCAGCCCTTTCACTCAAGACTTTATTCTGTGCACCTGTTTCCCATTCCCAGCCCACCTTAAAAGCCAGGCGCTGACGCTCATCCGGGCTCTGCATCTGATTTCCGTATCGTGCGAGTCCGGGACCTGGAAGCGCCTGGTCCCGTTAAGGTTTTAACCTCTGTTCCCGTTCCTGTTCCCTGTCCGCCGGTTCCGACCCGGCCTTCGTGGTTTTAACTTCGTGTTTTGATGGATCTCCTGGTTTTGGACTTTCTCGTGTGTTTTTGGATACTCTAGGATTACTCTTTGGGATTGTTCGCCTCGGCCACACCTCCCCCGTGCACCAGCGCACCTTGGACACGCCCCCCTGTCTTCAGCCCTGTATTCCTGCATGACGTTTCCCCAGTGTTTCCCCACTTCGTCGGATTGTGTTGTCTGCATAGGGTCCGGAAAGAACTGTTCGTTACAAATACATACTGATTTGGATGAATGTATTAAAAAAAAGCAAGACAAAACATCTCTAAATGTTTAGAGTTAGTTTTGTTCCCCTCCCTACACATCTCTACACCTTCATTTGAACCACGCTAAAGTAACTGTTTTGTGACAGTGAAGTGATATCATGCCTTAAATATTACTTTGACGTATTTCCATCTGCTACATTACTGACTTGTGCCAATAGAGTCAGATTTCAAGGTTGCAGATCCACGCCAGGCTCCAACCTGTCAGCCAGTGAATAGCAGTACTGTAGAAGATCCCCCACCTTCTTTTTTTAAACATGGGAGATCCTAGCTCAATTATTCATATTGGATCAAAGGTCCAATTGAAAACCACTACACAAAATGTATTTCAGACCATGTCCTGTTCACTGCATTCGTCTTTGGCTTTGTTTAACGTCTCACACACGCCCAGACCCATATTGACTTCTTCAATGGATTCTTTCCGAGTCCTTTTCCCTACGTCTCCACTCGGCACTAAAATTGCATAGTCGGCGCTCGGCCCAGCGTTCACCACCAAGTATCGTCACTGAACAAAGCAAAAGGAGTTCCAGAAAGTTCTGGGACAGCAGGGCCACGCAGAACTGTCGCACAGGTTGGGCCACACTCGAAAGATTCCAAACAGGATGGGCTTGATTAAGCTGTCCTTTTTTAAAGAATGAAAAACCCTTTTGCTTTCACTCGTTAGAGAGCAAAAACATTCAGACTGCGATTTGGAACAAAACCTTCTACAGGCCTGAGAGGAGAGAGAAGAGTGAGATGTGAATAACATCATGATTTGTGTTGTTTACAGCTGGACATCAAGTATATTAAAACTGCTAAGTATTATTAAGACTGTGCTTAAACAGCCATACAAGACACCCCACTCAAGAGAATGGAAACATCACAAGGGTGCAGTACTCACTTGAGTTAAGAGCTGGGCAGAAACATGCATCTTGATTCACTGACATTCATTTAATATTAGATGGTCCAGACTAGTGCTTGGCAGGTTCATCAATGCCATTGTACTTTCTACCACAACAAACAATACTTGGCTAACGAGTAAATACAAAAAGTGTTATTTATAATCACCACTACGCGCACTGAGGAAAGGAAAAAAATCTGAATTTTCGTTCCTGTGTATTCTGAAAGAAGCCATAGAAGCACTGAACAATTTTAGCACAAAATCCCCAAATTTTTAATTTCACTTTATTAACTCTGTATCCTAAACTTTTGTTTGCCTTTTTATGTGCTTCCTCCATAGTGGGAATTTTTTTTTTGTGTTTGATGTGCTTTTCAGACAGATGTGTTGGCTTCTCCAGAACTGCTCAACGTTGCGACACACAACAGTTCTTGACTGATTGTTTGCCAGTGATTCTGAACTGCGTGGCTCTAAAGAAATACCAATACACTGGAAAAGCTGGCAGATGGAAACTATTTGAGCTCTGGTGCTGTGTGGGGTCACAGATGCGGACTGTGTTGACAGTGCAGTGTATCGTAATGCAGTACATTTACTGACTGAACTTAAATATTCAGCAACCCCCATTCCCCCTGACAGAAAACTCTAATCCCTGCATATTAAAGTAACACTAACTGCTGTTTTTGTGGCAGTCTCTTCAATGCAATCCAGAGCACAAAAACCTAAGAACAAAACATGCTTTTGTCCTTTTGTGTCTCGTGTTTCCCAGAAATAAACAGGTTTGTGTGAGACGGGTCCTTTTTCTAAGCACAGGGGAGGTCAGAGGCTTTATCAACGACATGAGGGGAAATTTGCCATTGCACAAATCCCAGCCAGGCTTGACACTTGATCTGAAACCCAGACCCTGTGGGTTTCTGCTCTGCCTTCACCTCCTTCCTGGGAATACTACAGGTAACCGCCAACCTCCCAGTGCTGAAGAACTCCCTTGATCAGACATTAGCAGGAAGCTAATCTTTTCAATCCACTTCAATTATCTTCCCCACCATTCGGCTCATCATTTTCTATATGAAATTGTTAACAACTAACACCAAAAGGGAATTCCCCCATTCTTTTCCTCTCTGCATGCTTGCTTGCCAACTGTCAGTTGCTCACATTTAAAAAGCCTCAGGAATTCACCTACAGTATAGCCTTTAACCCACCCTGCCTGTCGTCCCAGCCTGCGCTTGGCTGTTAAGGGAAAGGGAGGAATTTAATCTTTTGCACAGAAAACATTTCCTGATGAGGGCTCTCTCCCCTCACAGGGCAGTTCTTCTCCATTCGGCTTGCTGAGAGACCCAAAACATGCAATTGAATCCTCATTAAGAACGAGACTTCACTTTCAAAAGAGGCTTAATTATGAGCCTGTTCTTGACTAAAGCAAATATGTAAAGCTATACTTCTGTGCTGGGATTCTGGTAGTCAGTTACCTTTTTGTGGTAATAATAAACGTCATCCTAAAAGTTTTTTTCACTGTACTCTCATGATGCATTGACCGAATTTCATTTTTATTTTTTATTCTAAATGCCATGAATAACTGTGTAAAGAAGCACAACAGACATTTTTAGGGGAAGAGGTTGTTCCAGGAAACGCAGACACACGGGGAACCAGAAGAAAGGAGATTTTCGAACCTGAGATTTGGTGGCTGACAAGAAGTTAACACAAATTAACTTCCTTATACTGTAAAGTCGGAGTCCCAAAAAATGTAATTTTATATATCTGATTACAGTGTCGTAAGAACCAGTTAAAAGTTAATGAGATTTACTAAAGAAAGGCCAGAACACAGTACTAAGAAAAGCATGGAATAAACCTTTACCCGTTCCTTTGCAGCCTATGCATGCTGATGCAGCTATCCACCCGAACTTCTAAGAAGGACACACTGTGAAAGCACAGTAAATATGGGTTAAAAAGAAAACACAGCACAAGTACCCAATTGTCGTGGAAATTCACTGTTGTAGACTTCCATACAGGCCACCCCATTAACCAATTGTAAAATAGGATATAAAAATATATACCGGATATTTTTACAATTGAAAAGCTAACAATAAATTACACTACAAATACAGGACTCTGACTCTATGTACAATAAAACAAATGATGTGCTGTACATGTATGCAGTCAATGGGATATTTCACTGCACATCTGGCCAGTCTCTAGTGTCATAGGCTTCTTTTAGTTTTAAAGGGATTTGAACATCTTTGCCAGTCCTGCTCTGACCCTTTCTGTTCCTTTGTCTACACTTTACAATCGTGCCAACTAATGCCAGAAGGAGCAGGGAGGCCACGATCATGCTGAGGCCAAGGAGGAATACAACCTGGCACTTCTCAGTATCGGAGGCGTTGCTAATGCACATGGTTTGTATCTGGGCAGAGGGCTGTATGAGCTGGATGTTTTCGGGGACGCCTTTCAAACTGCAGGGGCCCCCGGTGTCGTTCACCTGCAGGTTGACCCACACTGTGGCCTGCTGGGAGGTGGGCCTTCCGCCGTCCCGGACTGCAACAAAGAGGTGGTGGAAGCCGTAGTCGGCTTCCTGAAGTCGCCTGGCCAGGGTGATGTTTCCCAAGGAGTGGTCGATCTGGAACGGGCTGGGCCCCGGGGGTTCGCAAGCAATGATGAAGTAAGAGATAACGGAGTTGATCCCAGCATCCGCGTCGACCGCGTAGATCTCGGCAATGGCGGAGCCTGGTGGAGTGCCGGGCGGCACCGTCAGGCAGGACAGGTTGGTGGCGGGCAGCAGCACTCTGGGAGGGTTGTCGTTGATGTCCAGGACGAACACCGTGACTTTGGCAGTGGCGGAAAGGGAAGGGCTCCCGTGGTCCTGCGCCACAATCCAGACCTCGTGCCGGTCCTGCTTCTCCCGGTCTACCTCAGCCGCACAGCGCAGTGTCCCGTGCACATTGTCCATCACGAACGGGCTGCTGTCGTTCAGGAGCGATACCTCCACCCTGCCGTTGGCCCCCGAGTCCCGGTCCGTCACGTTTATTACCCCCACCTCCCCGAACGTAGGGAAATTCTCGGGGATGAAGAATATAAATTCGGAGGTGATGAAGGCTGGTCTGTTGTCGTTCTGGTCCAGCACCTGGATCATCACGGTGACGCTGGTTTGGAGAGGTGGGGAGCCCTGATCCCTCGCGTGCACGGTAAGACTGTAAAACTCCTTGTGCTCCCGGTCTAGAACAGATGAGACTGACAGCTCTCCCGTTACCTTATTGATGCTAAACATGGGTGGGGTGTTTGTCCCCAGCGAGTAAGTCACCTCTCCGTTCTGCTGGCTGTCTGCGTCAGTTGCCGTCAGTTGTATGAGAATCGTTCCCGGCTTGTTGTTCTCCTCAATGGCAACCTCAAAGCGACTTTGGTGGAACCAGGGAGCGTTATCGTTAATGTCTTCCACACTGACTTGAATCTGCTTCTTGTGGTAAATACTGGAGTCCTTGGCGTCACTGGCCACGATGACAATGTCGTGCTGCCTTTCTTGTTCAAAGTCCAAGGGCCTGGAGGTAACTAAAAGATATTTTCCTTGTTGTGGCTTTATAACAAAAGGGGTTTCCCCTTCAATGTATGGCAAGCCTTTGATCCTGTCAGGGGTTTTCACTTCCAAAAGGGCTAAGGCTGTGTTGACTGGCTCATTCTCTTTCAGCACCACCATCTGATCCTGGTGCTTAGCTATATACCTGACTTCCATCACTGGTTGCTGGCTTGCCACCGGGACCACAGACACAATAACGTCTGTATCATCAGGGGGGCAGTGTGGGCCACTTGCCCAGATTTTGAGCACATGCTCAGAAGTGGTACTTCTGTTGATGATTCTGGACAAGGTGATGACTCCAGTGTTGCTGTCCAAGTTGAACATTGCCCTTGCTGCCTCAGAGACCTTGTGACTAAAGGAGTAGGTGATTTTGGCATTGGAACCCAGGTCAGGGTCAGTGGCAAGCACGTGGGCCACCTCAGAGCCAATGGGCATGTTGTCAGGGATGGAAACAGTAATGGGGCCAGGAGAGGTGAACTCAGGGCAGTTATCATTGGAGTCCTGCACCTGCACAACCAATGTCGTGCTTCCTGTTAGACGTGGGGTTCCTCCATCGACGGCGATGAGGGTCATCTGATGAATATTCTGGATTTCCCGGTCCAGCAGGTTCTTAACAACCACAACTGGCGCTGATCCTTCAGAAACCACACTGAAAAAGCCATCATCCCCCTCCAGTTGGTAAATCACTGTCCCGTTACTGCCTGCATCCAGATCTACTGCATGGTGGTCCAGCTCAAACCTTGTTCCCACGGCAACATCCTCCGGGATGGAAAGTTGGATGATGCTCTCCTGGAAGTGAGGTGCGTTGTCGTTAATGTCCTGGATGACCATTTGTATCTTTATTATCTCAGCACCGGGGTTTATGAAAGCATCCAACAGCAGCTGGCACTGCCCTGTCTGGTGCTCGGCTGGGCACTGTGACTCTCTGTCGATGGCACGTGAGGTGGCGTACAAGTCACCAGTGCTCTGGTCAACTCTCACACGCTCTTCCGCTGTAAGGAGCTGGTATGAGGGCTGCTGTCCCGGTGGTAAGAGTGTGGATGGCTGTCGGCTGATGGTGCCAAGTTTGACACCTTCCTGCTGCTCCTCTTCTACATGAAGAGTAATTTGAGGAGCAGCTCTGTTGTGGCCAATCTGGGTCAACAGGAGAATGCAAAAGCAGTTCTAAAAAACAAAATCATAAGAGAATAAAAGTGTGAGCAGTATTAGATCCCTATGCATTTCGCTCCTATTGTTACCATTTGAAAAATCTCTGGCATAGGTTATAAGGAGCACCAGTGATAACATCCCCCAAATCAGCTCTTACAATGTATGGTAAGTGAAATCTATCTCACACTCCTTGTCTTGTCTTTGTATGACAGGTAATTGCGGTTTTGGTTGCATTTTGGAATCACAAAAATACAAAACCTACAATAATGACCACTGTAATCTAATTAAAGTATTTAAATTCTCTCCTCATCATTAAAAGAAAGAGAGTCATCTTTGCATTTAAAGAAACTATTCCCCTGTGAGTTTCTCTTTCTTTTCTTAATATTTTGAGTTACACTTCCTTATAAGGCCTAAAGATTCATGTACTGTATAAGCCCTTAACACACCTTAATATATGATGAGAATATTAATACAGTGTCAATAAAATGGAGATAAGTGACCTTTACTATTAATTGCATGACAATTTACTATTAAAGTAGTTGTTGAAGCAGTGAATAGTGAAGTAAAGTGCTTAATTATTATTAACAAAAGCCCTGCATTTCTGAAAAAATAAGTCTGAAACAGAAATATGTATAAAAATGACATATTGCTTAATTTTAAAGAAACTCTTATCTTTTTAACCATTTCAGAATCATACAAATCTTTCATGCACTAGAAGCAACAGGCATAAAAATTCAACATATTTCATCTGGTCGGGAACAATTCATACATAATAATTATTAAAATGCCAATTAGCTATACACTTTGAGTCCTTGAATGACAGTACTTGGGAGTACTTGAAAGAATTAGCTATTGACATGCACAACATTGCATTAGTGTTTTCTTGACAAATATAAACGTAAATACTAAGAAATTATTTGGAAGAGCCTCTTTAAGACAGAGAGAAATGTAATTCACTTGACAGATTCTGTTACCCTGAAGGAAAAAAGTGGGTGGCTGTATTAGTGGGCATTCCTGACTAGATTTTCCAGTATGATCAAGGAAACACACAGCAAAATGTGTTTTTCTTATTTTAACCAAACTGTGTTCACATAAAGAATGGGACTATCTTTCTTAATAACAGAGGCTGGGCCTGACTCATCAAACATACTTTGAAAACTTTTCAGATCCATGTCATTCACAGACTAAGACTAATGGAGAAACCCTCCACCCGTAGCAGAAATATCACATACAGCAATGCCAAAAGACAGGAGGTTTTAAAATCAATCACCTATTTGAAAGACCTCTGGAAAGCCTTCTTGAATACTTGGGGCCTGTTTGAAAACGTGATACTAGGATTTTCTATTCATATTAAATATTGATATTACAGTTTTTTTGTTTTTAATCAGAATTATTTGCAAAGAGAAATGTGTTTATTTGCTTTTAGGCTGTTTTAAATCTTAAAAATCTTCTTATGTTAAAAGTAGAGCTGCATGAATAGCAGGAAGCAGCAAAAAAAACCCTCTCTTGTAAGCTGATTAGCTCAAAAAGGTGTTTGTTTTGTTTTCTGTGACCAGATGCAATAAAAATTTGTTTTTTGAATAGACCTTCTGTTACCTTTAATCCAGACATACTTAAGAGAGCACTTAGGCAAATATTGTGTTTGTGTTTGCAAGTGTCAGCACTTGGTTTAGCAGTTGTGATTTCAAGTGCTCGGTCCCACTTAAACATATCACAGTGAGCTACTGACATCACTTAAACCCCAATTGGATTTTAAACAGCATTTCCAGTCCCACTCCTCTGGTGACATTCTTCAATTGCATGCCCCTTATCATGCGCTACAGACAAGTATAGCAGCAAAAGCTATATGCAGTATGTTTTAATTTCAGATTCACCTGATAAAATGGCAATGACTGGAGTAAGAACAATTGAAAAGCTGAATGTGTATCTCTTTATGCGCAGTCAAAAAAACGATTCTAGCTACAGACATTCCTATTAGAAAGTTTTTTTTATTTTTTCAGCTATCAGACTGACAGATTGATCTGGGCAAAAACTTAGAACATTTTTTTAAAAGCATCACAGGAGCTTCTGTGCAGAATCTTATTGGAAGCTGGGCACCAGTGCTCTGTTCATATTAAGGCATTTCAGTAGTGGTCAGCTTAAACATAGTTAAGTCTTGTTAGTTTTTCTCAGGACCAAGACCAAGAACACCTATTGGAATGCATGAGTCTACTTAAAAGTTTCCTGTACAGGACCTCTCTTGTCTTTTACATTTGTTTTAATTCTTCTCTGCCTGCTTTCCAAAACATTTTGCTTTGCTTTTCAATCTAAGCGATGAAAGACAGACCAAACAGTTGCAGATGAAACATCTCTCTATATATAAGCTTTCAGGATGGGTTTATCCACATAATGTAAAAATGTATATGAAATGAAAACTACACATAGGAATCAGATTCATTCCTTTTCATCTGCCTAGGAAGGTTTTGTGCTCATTTACTTTTTTTTCTACGGCTTCCCTAACTTAAGACTACTTAGGTTATAATAACAGCATAAAAATAAAACTGACCTGAAACAGCGTGAATTTCCAGCTTTGCTATTTCACTCTTTCGTTTCTCCTGTCACTTAGCTTTGCTATTATCTAAAACGCATCAACTTTCATTTTGACTTCACTGAGCAGCTCAGTTGTAGTCTAAGGAAAGGACTTAAAAAAAAATTCTGCCGTAGCCAAAACTCCTGGTGATAGTATGTTCAGTCTTAATGTTCAAACACATTGCCTCACTTACTAGTAATTGCTTTACTGTACCAATTCACCTGACTCTTCTAAGATTTATTCAGTATTTTAATGAACTGCTAACAAGGAGAAATTAAAGCAAGCCCTTTTTACACAGATCTGGAGTGACCAAGATGACCACTCCTGAGTTCACTGACCTGAAGCAGCTGTGTCCAGCACATGTCCACACGTGTCCTGTGGGCCATTCCTTCCGGACATGTTCTCAGTGCCAGTGGCACGCAGCGTCTCTCTGCCTGGAGAGTGTTGGAGCCTGAGGGGAGGAGCTCCACAGATAGTGCACACCTCCACTTTCAGGTGTGGACTGTAATGATTACACTCTGTATACCATTAAATTGCAAGTAATGGAGGCAACATGGGCCTGTGGGCACTTCACCAATGTCAGCAACAAGTCCATGCATGTTTAATGTCTGCACATGCATGTTTCATGCCTGTGTGTGCATGCACATCTGTGCATTTATTGTCTCAGTTTAATATTTGAGCATGCACGCTAGAGTACAATCTGCGTGTGCATGCATTTTTAATGTTTAATTTACACATCTTAGTTTATGTGTTCAAAATGCGTGCATGTTTAATGCAAAGTCTGCTTCACACACGAGAGAGGAATGTCATATTTTGTACAAATTGCTATTTATTCTATCTTAAGAAAAACACGTTTTGAATTTGGCAACACTAAAAAGAAACCATTTGAACACATTAATTTCTTTTGACAACATTTTTCAAGCTGCTCGTGATGTTTTAACGGTCATTATCGTACGCAAATGTTTTCGCTTTTTATTTGAGAAAACCCTTTAGAAGTAAAGTTTTGGTGAATTCCGCTACAGGGTGTCAAACAATGAGAAAACTGACATTTGCTGTACTGACCTTGGTTCTACTCATCAGTCTCCTTTGTTGCTTGAAAGAAAAGCTTTTTAAGTTAAAGGTAAATACTTCAAAGACTGCCGGGGTCAGAGATGCCCTACTGATAATCAGAAAAATACATTACAGTCACTGAAGAGAGGCAGATAATATTAACACATTAGAAACATGACCATGTTTGAGTGAGTGAGGAGGGCAGCTGAGTATTTCTAATGATTTTATCACTGAAATGTTTTGAGGTCTGCCCGCTTTAAGGCATCCATTCCCATCCTGAAGTCCACAGGAAGAGATAAGCTATGAATCACATCTTAAAACACTTAAACAGTGAGAACCTACGCAAACAAACCACACTTAAATGATCTCAGCTCTGGTTTACTGTTGAGCGCTAGCATGGGTGTCATAGACATACCATTTTCTTTAAGACAGGTCTGCCTCCAGGGCAGTTTTGTCTTGAACATACCTGGAATTACAAACTCGGCCATCAGAAAAAAATCCTTTCTGGAGAGAATAACATAACTGGAGCACTCAAGCGACTGACATTTACCATCATGTAAACTGGTGCTGTCAGATCTTAAATGCAAAGAAAGTCTGGCTGTGGCCAGTACTGAGAAGGGAGACCTCTAAGGAAAAGCAGGTTGCTGGTGTTAGTGGACCAGTAGGTGGCAGTATTCTCTCCATGTCAGAGTTTCCAAACTAATGCCCCAGGACGATGACAGGGGACACTGCTGCAGAATGTGTTGTCCTTTGGACATTGACCAGGATATTGAAGTGAGGTCAAGACTACTTAGCTGTTAAAGATCCCATGGTACTGTGAGCATGGGTGACCCCCTATATAAGAGTCCAGACCCCCTAACCTCTTCTCTGGATTGCTACCCCTACAGTATATCACTAATCTTCCTAACAGCAGCACGTCTATATAAAGCAAAGAAGACATCGATCTATGCAGACGTGCAGACGCTTGAAAAGAAAGGGATTTGGAGGACATCAGAATGGAGCCTCCTGTATGAGAAGGCAGAGAGCTGACAAAGTGACTTCCCTATGAGCAGTAAAAAACAATCTTTTTGTCAATTCTGTATTCAGTTATGGAGGAGAGCACTCACGGACGGCACAGCAGGGGGCAATCAGGCTAATCCTCTTCATTCTGGAATGAAGGTATCCTGCCCCACAGTGCCTTCAAAAACATCCTAGCTGTGTCTGATTGTGTAAAGTACATTAGGTATTTATGGTAATTGAGCAATAAGCATTAAAGGTGCAGACAGACCTCTTAAACCAGAGTTTTTATCTAAGGACGTTTGTGTTAATGTGATGAGTATGTGCTATCCATATTTCACCTCTTTGGAGACTTCTAAACATCGCTCTCTACCAGTAGATTAATTCATCGCAAAATACTTTCATACATTCACAGATCACGAGCTTGTATCTTGGTAACATACAAATATGTAGGAATCAGCTCTTTCATGGACCCTGTCACGACACCTGCCTGCCTTCTCTTTCCATCCACTAATTTCCCAGTCTCCCCTGCTGAGGCCTGCAGTTTTCCTGTCCTTGCCTGCACAGAGTGTGTGTGTCCAGACTAGGGCTTTAAAGAGAAACGGGGAAAAAATGTAGTGCCTGTCACACACCTGCAATTCTCTATTGAAATACAAAACGGAACAGAGACCCACAGAGCAGAAGAACTTTGCACTAACAGGAGACTAGAAGAGGCAAATAAAGAAAACCATGTAACAGCTAGACAGCCAGGGGTTCCCTTTGAACAAAGAGCCAGCTGTCAATCATTCTTGCGTGGTGGACAGGGAACAGGAAGTACAGGGAAGCAGGTGCATGAAAACTATTGGCTGGCTGTGCAACATGTCAGTCTTGATGCTTTTCTCCCTCCTGGATCTGGTCCAGTTGCAGCTGCTTTCCTTGATATCTTGGCCCAGGTCGCTGGATGTGAGTGTCAGCAGTATCTCATCTTCCCATCTGACCCTCTTAAGACGGGTTCTAAGAATGTGCAGAAATATCCTGAATAAATCTCAAAAAGTGAATTGTGAAATGTTTATCGGGATTTTTGGGATTAAGGTATTCACATCACTGGAGGATTCTCTGTGAGGCTGTGCGGATTATCAAGAACTGTAAAGTCTCCCAAAGTGATGTCTGCCTCCTGCCACCTTGTGGTCAAAGTAAAAAATTGCCACAGCCTCCCTTTGCAGGACTGTATGACAGGCTACAGGGTGGTACAACTGCGAGGTTCAGCTTCTTCATGTGCAAAACACAGATATCTGTTTTTTAATAGTTTTATTTAGATTTATTTGAGCTTCTCCATCTTAAATATTTTTTATTTCTATTTTTATTTTTTCTATTATCTTTCTATTCTTTTTTTCAATTCTATCTGCTCTGCCTTATTGCAACATAGCCTGCACTTACATCAATGTTCGGTTGTTACATACGGATAGTAAAAATGTTAACTCTATACGCCAGATAGGAGACATTGACTTCGTACAAGCTACATCATCATTAGTTCCTTTTTCTAGGCATTGTGGAGAAGCAATAAAAAGGTATAAATTGTTATATAATTCTTCACACTAGTAAACATAATTTAAAAAAATACTTTGCCATAAGATGTTAGGATACCATAAAACCTCAGGAAAAAGATAAAAAACAAACTTAGACAAAATATATTAGCTTAAAATGGACAATGCACAAAGCAAATCCATAACAATATCAGATTAAAGAAGAACTTTTAGGGTGATATTTAAAAACATAGATATGTTTAGATCCAGGCATAGATCCAAAATTTCTAGCAAGGAGAGTTATGTTAGAATTGTACAATATCTTAGTAAGGTCTTATATAAACTGTGTGCAGAATTTTGTAAACCCAAGAAGAGTGACCAGGTGTTGCCCGTTTTTAGAAACAGGGGAACCAACAAGATGGGGGATTCCCAAACCAAGCTTGAAAATACCCTGTACAATGTCTGCCGTGAACATACAATAACAGAACTATCTGTAACTTACAGGCTTACACCGACAAGCTAGTCTAAAAATCTTTTTAGTCCTGAACAGAGAAGATTGTGGGGAAGGTGGGAGGGGCAGATTTTAGTACACAAAACCCCAGCTACAAAAAGAGGCATTGCAACTCGTAAAATAGTCCAAAGAGGATCGGCCAAACATCTTCTCAGGCATAATAAAATGACCTACCCTTTAAGGGAAAAAGAATGGAATGACTTTTGTTTTGAACAGGGAAGACTACCTGGTGATTTAAGGCTTTAAGCTGCAATTTAAGTTCAACAGTGAAACCGGAACCAGAGGAAACAAGTGGAAACTAAGAAAAAGTGCATTCAAGAATGGGTCAGTAGGCTCTTCTTGGCACAAAAGGTTGTGGGTGTCTGGAACAAGCTGCTCAGCCACTGCATTGTTAAGTTGGTGCATAACCAGACTATAAACCATCTAAAACAGACACTGGCTGGCTGTGTGGAGTGGTTCATTTATCAGAGAATAATTAAACTTTACTTTCACTAAAGTAAGATGAAGTGTAAAACAGGCTTTATTTTGCCTGGAAAAAAAATCTGTTGCGTGTAAAACGAGAGATGGAACTCACAAATGTTTTTTTTCTGTACACACGATGTTGTAATACCTAAGAGGAAGGCTGTTTCATTTTAAAGGATTTCATGCATAAAGCTTAAAGCATCAATACATTGTTCTACTCCAATACAGTGTCTTTGACATACCATTTTCTCTAAGACAGGTCTGCCTCCAAGGTAGTTTTGTTGTGTTTGTCTAAACTTCTGCCTAGGAACTCCACACTGAAATTGTTCAGCCAATAGCACAGTTTACGTTGACAAGTGACACCTGATGAATGTGGCATTTCCAGTCATCATTACCTGGGGCTACTTCTCTTGCTTTGTATATACATATGTCAGTGGCACGCTGCTATAGATTACAAAATTAAATTGTCAACTGACTTCACAGTTATCAATTGATTGCGATCATTGATCTCTTAAGCCTAGGGCCTTCTGAAAGAATATAAAGTATGACTTTAATGACCATTGATTTTTCATCTTCCTAGTAGGGCCATAACTAGGCTTCTAAAACAAAGTAGATAATAAAATGTAGATAAACAGATAAACAGTGTAGAGAGGCAGGCAGATAGATGCTACATGTGTTGGTTGTATGTTCACAGCAGACATTTTTGCAGGGTGTTGTCAGCCTTGGTCCGAGGGAGCCCCTATCTTGTTGCTTACAGCTCCCCTGTTTCTACAGATGCGCAATGCCAGTGAGATGCTAAAGAAGCACACCAGCAATCTGTTCAACCGCCAGCAGCCATATCATCCTGCAACTCACCACTGGCAGCCCACTGAAGCTCAGCGGTTGTGAGCCTGGTCAGTGCTTGGAGACCTCCTGGGAAAGATAAGGTTGCTGTTGGAAGAGGTGTTAGTGGGACCAGTGGGGGGCCTTGTGGTCTAATGCCCTGGTATAGTGAGGGGGTAAAAAAGTGATGTCCTTTGGATAAGATGTAAAATGTAGGTCTCTCTGCAGTCATTAAAAATAGCAGGGCAATTTCTTGTAAAGGGCAGTGGTGTTAACCTGTTGTCCTGGCCAAACTTTCCCCTGTTCTTTATAATCCTAATAACCCCCATCTAATAATTGCCTTCATCACTCTGTTCTCCTCCAGTCTGAGAGCTGATGTGTGGGGAGCGTTCTGGTGCACTCTGGTTGCTGTTGCGTCATCCAGGTGGGGCTGCACATTGGTTGTGGTGGAGGGAAGTCGCCATTACCTGTAAAGCGCTTTGATGATGATGATGATTAGCTGAAAGGAGCTGAAAAGATACAACAACTCAGACTGTGGTCCCAAATCAGGTCTAAATTTAGTTTTTATGGTGACCTTAACTTCCTTCTGCACTGGGACTGCCCAGGACCAGAGCTGGAAACCCCTACAAAAGAACTTTCTTTGAACCCTCCAATCTCACCAGAACCCCGCCCAACACAGGCGGGACCCACTAACAGCAAGGCGGTCAGCGTGAAAAGCAACTGAAATCGTTGGACGATGGCAAATCTATCATCATTCTACTCGGTAATCTCTTCCACAATATTACTCGAAGAAAGTGAAACATTGCGCAACTGAAACACCCATTTCATTTAAATCAAACTATTATGTTAAAATACAGTACAATTAAAGCCAAATGGCATTGCATTTGGTTGGTTCGGTTTTCAGGTGTTCTCCTGAAGGCGTGAAGTTTGTTTCCAGCCCGAGCGGCAAGGAGGTTTACGTCAGTGTCTATTTATAGCTTGAGACTTAGTTACTGTACAAAGTTCCACTTCATTCACAATGTTTCCGTTCCGCCCACATAGAACATTAAGCTTTTATCAAACTTTTCATTGGGCCAAGCGAGACGTCAATCAATCGTCTCACTGGGCGCTGCATTAATAAATGGAAAATGATGCTGCGAGAACCTTATGTTGCTTCGAGTAGCGGACCTCTGCTATCCAGATTAAAGCCCGTCATCGACTTTTCGATCAAGGATGGCTTCTAATGACACATCGGGTGAGTAAAACTGGTTCTATTTACAGCCTAAATAAACTCTTGAAGGTTTTTTGGTGCAGAAGCTCATCGTTTAGCTTGAAGTCGAAATCAAATCGTCGAATAGACACTGTGGTCAGGAACGTGTCGTCACTACAAATACAGCAACTAAAATCTACGAAAATTAAAATGGGCAGATGCGAGCAGGATTGTGGTTTTTTCCTTTAAGAGGCTACGTCATCTATATGGGTGTTCGAAAATTTCGTACAAGTGACTTTTTTTGCAGTTTGTGAAAGGAAAGGAAAGACAGAGACGTTGTCTAAATCACTTTTTTCGGGTGTGACCAAAGGGCTGCGGGTAGCACGTTGTC